GCGTTTACATAAAATTTGATTGTATCACTTTAATAATATAATAGATAGATATAGATATATATAAATTTCTCTTTACAATTTCCCTCTTTCTTTACATATCAGACTGTTCGAACGTTGTTTCCTCTTATCCAGTATTTCCAGATTTTTTCGAAAATGGTACCGATAGTTATCTATTTTTCTAGACTATTTCCCCATCCTTAACTATGAAGATGGAATCAGATTCCAGTTCTCAAAACGTCGGAAAACGTTTCAGTGGTTTCAGCCATGAAAATATATTCTATAATCCTTTGAACAAAGACAAATTTATTGTTTAAAATGAATTTGCAGTTACAGGGTGTTTTTTTTCGCAACACAAATTACAGGTACACCCACTCGCTGTTTAGGGACGAAACAAGTTCATGTGTTGACAGCCTGTTTTCTTTACTTCATTGCCGATCAGATAACATTCATTTTAGCACTGTTGTCAACACGGTTCAGTATTATTAGGAATTCATTGTGATTAAGACTCAACATGGGGGCCCAAAGAGTATGCATTGTAGAAGAATCCATTAAAAGTAAACTATCCATTTCATGCCAATCTCAGTTTTTAAGCCAAAGTAAGTCTTAAGGTAAGATTACAGTATAAATTAAATCAACTATAGGTTATATGAACAACAGAAAAGATAATTTAAAAAATAGGCTCCTCATTTTTTCGATGGATGTACGATACCAATCATACGTAAATTGCTTTGGAGAAAAACATGTTGAATCTTATTCACAGTAAATTCCCAATGACACTAAACCGTGCAGACGACAATTATTCTATAATGTATATCAGCAAATTTATAATGAGGTACAATACGTAGAGCTGTCATCTTACGAGCTTCTTACAGCTGTACACAGTGACTCAATTTGGGCTGTGTTAAAAACCAACCTGTATAATATTTGGTCTTAAATTGCAAGGTACACAGGTAAACATTTCCTCAATTTATTTGTAGACATAGAACACATAACATGTGTAGCATCTAAAAGTGACATGAACGCGCGGTGCGACCTCAAACCTAGGTTGTACACCTCAACCTCACCGCGTCGCCAAGGCCGAGGCCGTGTAAATGTCGAATATTTACGATAAATATTAATGCTACTATGTCGTACAGGTTGTACGCCGCCTCACGTTTACTACGCTACAGATAAATATTTACAGGCCGAGTCGTCCTAACAATAGTACACTGATTGAATTATAGCGTACGTATTTGGCGTGGACTATTGGTATGCCTCGGCGGTCGTGGCGGTCATCATTAGGTGTGCGACCGGTCCATCGCATACTGATCGGACGGTAGCAGATCCCCGCACAAAGAGATTCCAACATTTAAATTTATCGGGGATCGTAGAGTGAAGGGTCGTGGCATCAGTTGTGCGCACGCGCAACAGCGCGACACCAGATCGTGAGGCGATACGAGGCCATTATTGTAGGCGGCAGTAGCGGGTGGGTAGTGGTTTGCGATTTATAGGAAATGATCAAGATGGGATATTTTTATGTTTTGTAGCTTTGGGATGGTTTTATGACTCACTTTGCCTTGGAGGCATATTATTCGATGAAGGGGTTGCGAATCACTTTACCAATGAGAACTAATTGATTGGCTATGATCATAATGACCAGTTCACGAATCTTATCTGGGAACACACTATAGATGTACAGTTTATGAATTATTTAACTGAAAAAACACTAGATATTCAATTTAAAATTATCAAATTATTTTTGCCAGGGGAGACATTATTTAATTTACATTTTAGGAATCACTGCCTGAAAAAGAGTGTTTGATGAAATAACTATATGCAACTTAAGACATTTACATTTTTTATATATAGTTTTATTTTACCAATATGTTTGCCTGGGAAACATTTTATGCACATTTTACAAACAACTTTTCTTATGAGACATCCTTTTGGGTGTACAGAGTGGTACAGATCAAGAATCTGCCAGGAAGACCACTACTGCCTGGGCCTGGGGGCATTGTATTTGATATACAGTTTACAAATTATTTTGCATAGAAGGCATACTAATCGGTGAACAATTCACAAATCTATTCCTATGGTAGGGATCCGATTTGATTTGGTTTTGTTAATAAATTTCCTTGCCTGGTACACACACTGTTTGATGCATAATTTGCGGATCTCTGAAGGGCGGAACTTGCTATTTCCTCATCTCGTCAATGCACCTTCTTCTAGGTCTTCCTCTTGGTCTTCTTTCCATTTATATAAAGCTCACTCAATATCAAAGGATTAATTAAAAATATTTTTTGTCGGTGACATGATACACTTTTTATTTTGTTACCAGTAAGATTAAGGCCCATATTCTCATGTAAAAAGGTTCAAGCAGGCCAGGTCATCACACTACCATACCCCAATGTAATTTTAAAACTCATCAATCTCAGTTTTTTCCTAGCCCTAGCAAGTCATAACATAATAAACATGAGATAATAAGTGTGTGGAGGTAAGTAGAGAAACATCTTTGACTATTGATACAACTAGACATTCCATCCTCATGTTAAAGTTGTCGCCAGTTTTTTAATCACATTCGTCATAGTTGAGTGTGAGCCACCACCAAATTGTACTAATCTTAATTAATTTCTGTTGTATACACAATTTTTTTACCACGTTTTTGAGATCTTTTAACAAGCATACATACAAGCAAATATTTCTCATATTATTTTATGGAGTATAGGATAGGATAGGGAAAGCGTGAGTAAGATTTCGTTGAGATTTACTTGGCTGAGCTGTTATTACTAGTTGTTTCTCCCCAAGATCAGAAGGGGTTTTTTAATGGAATGGCTTATTGTGAGCTATAGAAACTTGTTAAGACTCGTCAACTTGGTCAGCAATAAAAAATAAGGTAAAAAAATAATGTTAGACACTAGTGTATTCCAAGCGCCTTGAGTGTATTCTGTATCTGGCTCACACAGCTATGTTTTTTTTTATCACAAATTGGTGACAGCTGGCCCATACAGGTGGGATGTCTATTTCGGTATCCAATGGTCAATGTTAATATGTAGATAACATCACATGACCACAGAGAAGTAAAGTACATAGGAAACTCGCTTATGGGAGAACCTTGCACTTTCAGCCCTAGTATGTTGTGCCAGAAATATACTTGTGAAGAGCAAGGAATAGCCTGAGCGGCGAGCACTGTGTGGAAATCTCTATTACACATTACACAGGGCACAGGGTCTTCCTCACTGTGAGCATTGCAGTACGTGAAGACGAGAGGATGGTATCCGGACTTTGCCCTAGACGAGCGACTAGTGCTAGACACCACTTAAGTGTAGCATTGGATGTTTCCTTTGTACCTTACTCCTGAGATGTGACAGAAGCATTAACCAAGGGTTATACAAGGAAAAACTAAATGTATGGGAAGAAAATACTCAAAGTGAAGTAAATAAGATATTCACAATCAAAACATACTTTATGTATAAGTACCTGGGGACCGAGCCATGGCTCGGTATAGTTTATTTCCAATCCAATATACCACTATATCGAGTAATTTTTTTGTAATTTTTGCTTAATAGTAACAACTGAATGTTTTTCCCATTGTAGGACTAATGTATTTTGTAATTTGATAGTAGATTATAAATATCTTGTCATAAACACATGTTAGAAGTCATTTGTTTACTTTTTCTTTGTTTTGTTATTTTGTCCAACCAACATGGTTACTTGGCAACCCATATGGCCAATGTCTTTCAATTTCATTTTTTAAGATTTTTATTAGCAGTTTTAACTGCAGTAAACATAATTTTAGACCAGATAAAAATCATTTTCAACATTTTGAAGGAAAACGTCAAAGCCGTTTATTTTTGGTGGCAGGGATGACACTTGCTTATGGAAGTGGCCATAGTGGCTGCAAGTAGCTGAGCCCATGCACAGAGCGCAAGCACCTGCTTATTGTAGTGAATTCTTCATTCGGTTTCACATTCTGATTCAGATAGTGGTTGTACACTTACTATTTTATTACATTAAATTGGTTTTTATAGTAAATTATTTATTTTTTTTTTCTTAAATGTTTTACCACTTAAGGCTCTTTAGGAAAAATGTTTTTTTTTATGTAGGTTACACCAGTTTCTTACAATACAATTTTTAATTTTTATAATTAGTTTCAGGCTCCATTCAACAGTATAGAAAGAGTCGTGCTCAATCATTTCTAGCTATGGGTAAAGACATAATATCATAAAACCATTTTTCACTGGCTGTAACTTCACAACAGTTTCAGATACTATAATTGTACATGTTAATTCCTCATCTGGCAAATCCATAACTACGACTAAGTTGCTTCTTTGCTAAACGTGTCAGTACCGGTGGCTTATTTCCTGCTTTCACAGTGGCCACCAACATATCTGACTCAGGTTCTTTCTGCTCTTCAGGAAAAGCAATATTCTTTTAATTATTAAACCTACCAGTAGGTTCTTATATTTACTACCAAGTGTATTTTTTAGGAATTTAAACATTGAACGAATGTGATCTTAAATGGATGAATCAGTTCATTTTTTACAAATGTATTTCAGTTACCTTTTAGTTCAAGATATTTTAGTTTGTAATTAGTTTGTTTCATGTTGTTTTTTAGGTTCTGAATTAATACTGTCACTATGAATTGTACAACGTACATAACATAGAGATTAAAATTGAATGAAGTGTTAGCGAGTGTCACATTATAATTTCTGATTATAGTAATCTATTAACTGGGGGTTTTCAGAGGAATTTTGCAACTACATTTTTAAGAATTAATTCAAATTGGAAAGACAAACCAGGTTTATAAGTAAAAGAAATATGTTCAATTTTAAACAATTAGGTCAAAAGTTTTAATGGTTTTTAATGAAAATAGACGATTAATTATGAAATAACACAAACATAAGCAACTAGCTTAGTTACTAAAACAATCTTTATTTCCAGAGAAGAACAAGGCAGAATGAGTTACACTATGTAAATGAATAGGGAAATAAAACAATTCACTAAAATAATAAAACTCCAAGTACAGAAAACTATTTATTTAATAAATAATACAAAATCAATTAGTTAATAATGGCACCTTGGAAAAGACAACAGCATAGTCTAACAACAATAGTCGGGTGATATATACACGAGAATATTAAATATAGAGTTAATCAAAAACAGGATTACTTTTAAAAACTATACAATCTATCAACAAAACTATATTATCGCCATAAAAATATAACACTTGTATTAGATCGTAAGCATTAGAATAAAAAACTTAAGGACTAGCTCGACATTTTAAAACAATGATCAGTACAAAATATTAACTTACAATCATCACAAAACACACTCCTTTTAGTGTTATAATTTAAGCACCTCTTCTATGATGGTAACAATACTTAGTCAAGTAACAGATGCATAAAAAGTTTTCATTTTGTGTTGGAAAAAGTAAAGAAAATTTTTATTTCATGAAATACATCAATACGGTGCATTTTTACTTTCAGATAAAGAGAGATACATGTCATTGTATTTTGTGTATTATGCCTAAACGTACTCATACAAACCTCAGTTTAAAACAAAGATATTCAATAAGTCACTATAAATTAAATAAAAGAGTAATTACCCTAAAATTAAGATTAACTTTTTCATAACCGCAGATTGGTGTTAAAATAAGAGAAACTTCTAAACATTTAATTGAATGTATAAGGAAAACCGAACAGGCAGAGTATTATATCAAATTTAAATGCACTTCTATTGGCGAACAGCTCACATTGGCTAATTCTTATACAGCAAGAGGTGGATTGCTTGCCAAGAGTCTTTCTAAGATTAGTGTCGCAATATATCTTGGAAACACTGTGAAATCTTAGAAGAGAAAAATATATACTGTGTTGAAAATTACTGAAAACTTACTCATGTCTTAACATGAAGTTTGCCTAGTCAAGGTAGTGTTTTTACGAACTTACGATAATTTAAAGAAAGGTTTTATTGTGAAGTAACAAACTCAGAGTTACACATAAAAACAATTAATCTTGACCTTTTAAAAAGGTAGTTTTTCTAAGTTAGCTTTAAACTATTTATTGCTGGTTTAACGGTAGAGCGCGGGACTTTGTTCGTGTTTGAATCCCGCCAAATCACCAATGAATTTTATTTTATAATGCCACAACCTCTAGGTCTAGCCTAAAGTAATGTGAAAAACAATCCCGGGCTCGTGCCTAGCACCCTAGGACGATGAAAAAACCTATTTATTTGCCCATCTACATGGTTGTGTGGATCATAGGAAAGCAAGGTACAGTACCTGTATGAACTATAGTGCTAAATCGTTAGGGACAGCACTGGGATAAGATCCAAGCCTTGCGGCTTGGTGTCACAGTCTGCTACCAACTGAGCCCCTGACTCACGATTTTCGCCCTAGACGGCTTTTGACTTGTGATTTGCAATATAATTTGTGTTCTGGTCTAATACAAAATGCTGCTACAGTATTAAAAGATCCTCCTTATATAATATACACATACAGCTACTTGGATGCCACAAATTGTGAATATTTATAGGCATAATCTGAGGATGCAATACTCCCTGGTGTGGATTAACGTCCACACTAGTGAGTACTATGACTATCCGCAGTACTATCCTGGTAATTAGAACAATCTGTAAATTACATGGCATAAATGTGGTTAGGTTTCTACTATAAACTGTAGGTCCCTTAGTTGCCATTGACTGTATGGGCTAATAATTAACAGTCCTGTCTAAAGAAAATATACTACTTAGTCAGTAACAATACTACAAGACCGCGCCACTAATCTCCATTCTCCATTTTACTAAGCTTAAAATACTTTTCTTCATATGGTCGCCATTTCAGTTAAAAGTATTAAAAGTATGTGGATTTCTCTTTTAGTCAACAGGGAAAATTCAAGTTGCAAAAAACCTTTAGTAGAATTTACTAATTGAATTGTATAATACAAAAACAAACAAAAAACAGTATATTATCCAAATCAGATCGTCCCCCCAGTTCAATCAACCCCTTTCCAATGCTCATTAATGCTTCTTTTTCAAATTGGTACATCTTTGTTTTTCTCTGTTGTCTTAGTGTCTACTAAAGTGGTCTTTTAGCGAATTTCCCATATAGGGAATAAGCTATTACCGTAGTACTCATAGTAAGACCTAGACCCTGGACCGATTTACTTTTTCGTTTTGAGGTCCCTAGAGGCCAAAAACAGTTAAATATAAAAATAATGTAGATAGAGCTACAATACTTGGTACAAAGTTAAAGAGCATAAAACTTTATTTTAACACATATTCAATGATCCAATAACTCTTCAGGGCCCACAAGGAGTCGGTCGAAAATCTTAAATGGAAGCATAGGTCAATACGCACATCAAATGAAAGGTATTTTTTAGTAGAATACAATGCTGCAAACCACACTTAAAAAGGTTGATCCTGTGCAAAATGACAGCCAATCAAAATTTTTTTCTTAAATCTACCATTTTGTGGCTTTGAACGACTGTCATTTTTTACTCAGGCGTTCTTTTGAGCTTGAATTTACAGCATTGTAATCTACTAGTGAAGACCTTTAATTTGATGTGCATATTGACCTATGCTTACGTTAACAATTTTCTTCCGATTCCTAGGGGGCTGTGCCCCCTGAGGAGTATGCGTATAATAGCAATGCAAATTAAATGAATCTTTGAACAACTGTCATTATTGGCTCGGTTGTCCGTTTGAGTTCAAATTTGCGGCAGTATATTCTGCTAGTAAAGACCTTTAATTTGATGTACATGTCAACCTCTGCTTCTATTTAAGATTTCCTCCTGACTCCTTGTGGGACGTCCCCATGATATGACAGAAAATTGATATTTCCTAAAAAAGTAGATTGTTAGGTGTTGTGTTGACGTACCAAATCTTTTTGATTTATCTGTTGTCGTTTCAAAAATATTTAACTGTCTTCGGACTTTATTACCACCCTGTATGTATGTGTCCGTTAGCACGATAACTCGAGCAAAAATGATCCGATTTTGATGAAATTTGGTATAAACATGTAAGCCTACATTTATTCGAACGAGTTCGGGAGCCAGCATGATCAGACTATGGGAACGGGGGTTTTATGGGGTAAAAATAGTTTTTTCCCATTTTTGACCCTAAAAACACAAAATTTCACAATTTATTTCCAAACCATTTTGTAGAGCTTAAAAAAACAAATAATTTAGTATTTAAGCTTTATTGTGCACCTAATGGTTACGGAGAAAATTTCAAAAAATTTTAAATTTAAAATTTCCATGTTATTCTTATGGAGAATAAGTCAACTGTTGTAGCCTAGTTTGCTTGTTTATGAACATATTTTGATCGAATTTGGAAAATACATTCATTTCTTACTATTTCTAACTATTTAGATTTTACAACAAATACACTTTATTACCCTCCCTGTTGCAGCAAACCTAAGTACTCGTTTAACTAATTCTATTTAAATAGGGAATAAATTAGATATTTTTTAGGAGGCATTTTAGTGTGAATCTAATCAGGAAGATGAAAATTCACTTAGCCTGCAGGTTTGCTGCGGCAGTGGGTATTTAATAGAGACCTCTCAAAAACTAAACATTCAAATTTTCATTCTAAATGTAAAAAATACTTGATGAAATAAAGTTTTTTTTTTATTGGAGTATAGTTACAAATCTAGAATGGGTAGCTATTTTATGCATCTGTTACTCAACTTGAAACTTCCAATTAAAAAACATTCCTGCACACAACAATAATTACACCAGTCAAAGTCTATAAAATGTCCTTAAAAGGGTAAATAGTTGTATACTATAGAAGAAAGAGAAAAAAACCTGGAAAAAAGTTTTATGCTGATGAAATACGGTACATAAAACAGCTTAAAAAACAAAAAAGAATAAAATTTAAAAGCTGCACTTCTGCAATTACTCTAGAAAAAGTATTTGGATATTAAATAAAACTAATATTTTATATAGTCTTAGAAAAGTATACAATACAGTAGCTGCGAAATATCACATACAAAGATTGCATGATCGCAAAATGATGATTTAATTTTTTAATGCTTTTAGGGACCATGTTTAAATTTGTGATCAAATGAAATATTCATAAAACCCCGATTTATAATTGGTTATTTTACCAAGTGTTCACAAAATATATTCTACACAACAGCCCTGTCTCATCATGTCCAATGCAGCATTTCAGGTTAGATGTTTCTAACAGATCCAAACTATCCAACATATGCAAAGCCAAACATCTGACTACAATAAATGTTCCATAAACTGTCTTCCTCTCTGAATGTTGGCATATATACAATGAGCATCCATTTTTCTTCAAAAAGCAATATCAATGTTTGATTCGGCCATCCAATATTAAGTGTTTTCTAGGATTTGTTTGGATCAAATGTCACATAGGCCTATGTTTAAATCAATTAGAATAAATAAACACCATTTCATTTAACATTTTAAACATACATAATACATAATAGACATTTGTGAACTTTTGGACCACTCGTATCAAACCGAATTGAATCAAAATAAATCTTTAGAATGCTCTTAAATGAAATGTTAATTTTGTGTATTGCCTTTCAGATTACTTCACCATAAATCATCTACAAGAGGTTAAGTTACCTATCCTATCCAAGGTAGCCGACATGAGGATTACTTGTTTAAGCTAATGTTTGTCCTACCACTGCAGGGAAATGATGACATTGCCAAACCTGTAACAGTATGTCAAATATTTTCCTATTTTATAGTATATACAAGATATTAAGTTACCTCGCCAATCCAAGTAGACCAAATGAGAATTACATTGATAAACTAATGTTTGTCCTACTACTTCATGGAAATGATGACATTGCCACACCTGTAAACAGTGAATGACTTTTTAAACAAAAAAGTTAGTCTGTGTCTTATGATAAGTTAATTATTATTGTGTGTATTACGAGCACAAACAGTCATTGCCGCTCTTGAAATGTATGGCACACTCAGCTAAAGCTTCGTCGGCCATCTATAGTTCTCCAGCGGAAATGACGTACTTTGCGCTCTTAATACGCAAATAGCTATTGAAACCACTTAACCTCTTGTAGACAGTTAAAATTGTACTATTTTAGTATAACAACAGTCCTTTCAGGATCGGTAATTTTAATTTTAAAATTTAGACTACCGTACCTATTTTGTAAATGTAGGAATAAAATGCTTGTCAAATTCTACCTCCTCTGCATAAGTATTAGATTGACAATAGTCTCAAGTTGCAAAATCTATTCACTTCCATTCCGTTTCTATTGGATAGTTTGACCCGTTTGAAACACACCACGATACTCTGTAATGTTAAAAGTTATCCTGAGCATAAAAATCCTATAAACCAGTAAAATAAAGCTGAATCAATATTAACTTCCAAAAATGGAATGATAACTTAAGGCGATAACAGAAACCAAAACAGAAGCTAAGTTAGGGGTCTGTCACTTCTTGTGCTTGGACAGATCGGCAGCAGCAGCCTGGGTAGGGGGGGCTTGTAGACCTCCTAGGGGGAGAGGGATGATGAACTGACCTCCACGGCCCGCTGCGTCACCCCCCAGACTGAAGATGACTCCCCCGTTGGGCATCCCTGGAGCAGGACTAGCGTAGACGACCCCGGTACCTGCCTGGGGGTACATCACTGGGAAACCGGCACTTACACCTAAAACAATAATTGAAATTAATATGTAGAAGCAAAAAAGCTCAGGTAGGCCTACTAGTTTATTATTGGTGACAATCAGAAACATACCTTGTAAATTGGTTTTTGGAGAGCACTGGGCTTAGGAGCACTAACTGGCTTATCCAAGAAGAAGTCTATGCTGCAGCACAGAGACGTAATGTACAGAGGAAACTTGCTTATGGGACAGCCGTGTGCTTTCAACTCTAGTATGTTGTATGTGCTGGGGGAACATACTTGTGAAGTGCAAGGAAGAGCCCAAGTGAAGAGCACTGTGCAAAAGTTTCTATTATACAAGACACAGGGCCTTCCTCTAGCGTGAGCATTGCAGTACATGATGGCGAGGAGAGCGGTGTTGAACTAAAGACCAATTCTACCGAGGTGTACCATTAAATGTTTCCTCTGTACCTGACTTCTCTGTAGCTGCTGATTGCACAGATCAAATTCACAATACAATTTGATTTTACATTATTTCTCTTCAAAAGAATTAGTGGAGCTAGGGAAGAAGCTCCTTCATAAGAGTGACATATATAGTTAATTGTGTTGTGTATTTTCTTGATTCAACGCCCTAGGACTCTTTCTTAGGTAAGTGATAAGATGTCTCCATGTGTCTCCATTCCTTCCTCCTTACCTTATGAATCAAAATTGTAAATATAATATGTTATAGTCTGTATAATGTAACCTGACTGACACTCCATCTACCTAGGACTGGCCTATGATTTGAAGGGCTGGGCCAGTCCTAGGTAGATGGAGAGTCAGGAGACAAGTTCCATCATACAAACTATAGTATTTTGGTACACCAATAACAAGCCATGTGCTAACACTTGATGATATAGCCCAGATTGACTACAATCATTGACTTTAGGATCACCACATCTATATGGACCAGCTTTCACAAAAGTTTAAGCCTATTCATAAATTAGACAGATGGAGCCAGGCACAGAGTGTGCAAGTATCCAAAATAATATTTTCTTTCTTTTTGTTACCCAGATAGTTGAAGTGACATAAAGGATGCTGTAGTTTACAGTAAGGTCCTAATAGTTTGATTTGGTTAAATATTCCGCTAATTCAGAAATCAGTAAAATACCAGCACAATCAATCAGTGGATCAAATAAACATCAGCACAATCAGTCTGTGATTCAAATCAATATCAGCACAATCAGCCAGTGGCTCAAATAAACATCAGCACAATCAGTTCTAGTGGTTCAAATCAATATCAGCACAATCAGTCTGTGATTCAAATCAATATCAGCACAATCAGTCAGTGGCTCAAATAAACATCAGCACAATCACAATCAGTTAGTGGATCAAATAAACATCAGCACAATCAGTTATAGTGGTTCAAATCAATATCAGCACAATCAGTCTGTGATTCAAATCAATATCAGCACAATCAGCCAGTGGCTCAAATAAACATCAGCACAACCAGTTATAGTGGTTCAAATCAATATCAGCACAATCAGTCTGTGATTCAAATCAATATCAGCACAATCAGCCAGTGGCTCAAATAAACATCAGCACAATCAGTTATAGTGGTTCAAATCAATATCAGCACAATCAGTCTGTGATTCAAATCAATATCAGCACAATCAGTCAGTGGCTCAAATAAACATCAGCACAATCAGTTAGTGGTTCAAATCAATATCAGCACAATCAGTCTGAGATTCAAATCAATATCAGCACAATCAGTCAGTGGCTCAAATAAACATCAGCACAATCAGTTAGTGGATCAAATAAACATCAGCACAATCAGTCTGTGATTCAAATCAATATCAGCACAATCAGCCAGTGGCTCAAATAAACATCAGCACAATCAGTTAGTGGTTTAAATCAATATCAGCACAATCAGTCAATGGCTCAAATAAACATCAGCAAAATCAGTTAGTGGTTCAAATCAACTAGCAATTATATCAAAAAGTCAAAGCTACGATCTATTGAATGTCTGGCACAATGTCAGTGTTTCTGGCCAACATACTTATCCAACAGTGGAACAACATAATTTGTAATATGTAGCTGTGGAAAATCAGGCTACTACATTGATGATTGGGCTTTAAATTTAACATCCCTATTCATATGAAAATGGACATAAAACCATCTAATCAAAATCCACGTGTTACCAACTGTTTAAAAATATTTATTTGGGTTTCCCTTAAAAAGGTTTCTGTTATTACAATTTAAAACTAACTATGTTTGTGTAGGGTACATGTAATAGCTATTTTGTGTACGTCAAAGCAAAGTACGTCATTGCCGCTCGAGAACTGTAGACGGCTGGACGAAGCTACACACAAGACTTTTCCTATCACCATAATTAACGTATCATAAAACAGAGATAACTTTTCATCCGTATATAAACAAACGGTAATTGAGATTATGGTTTTTTCTTTTGTTTGCTTATTTAGTTTTTTATAAAAACCAGAAACACCGACGATGAAATTTGCCAACTTAGCGAACACGTGATAATGGATAAAGCGGACATGAGCTCTTTAGCGTACTGTTTACAGGTTTGGAAATGTGGTCATTTCCATGCGGTGGTAGGAACAATTCCTAAACCAATTACGATAGGATACTCCACGGCCCAGATCCATCCACAGTATCCTCACCCAGCCAGCGTCGCCAGTTTTTGCCGAGATCGCATCACTTGTCATCACGCCGCGCACTCCATTCCGACTATAAATAACTTATAAATTCCACAAAGAAATATTTCAATTAGTTGGCAGGACACGCGCGGCGACATTTTTTCGAGGTCCGCGACTGGTTTCGAATCTCCGACATCGCGACGACGCGGGCGAAAAAAGAAGCGATTTGATGTAAATAAGAGTGAGCGAGAGCGACGAAGTTGCCTCCTCCAACCGACGGCCATTGTTGTGGAGTAATTGTCAGCGTATTACTCTGTTGAGGAGATTATCACGAAAAATAGACACGTGATTGGATCGTTTTGGCGTTGAATACACTATAGACGTATTACGGTATAAGTCTGTTGGAAGTAAAGCACGGATATATGTTCAAAGCAATGAGTATTTTTAAACCTGAGAAAAATCTTGCTTTTCAAGGTTTGAACTGAACAAAGCTGTTCTTAGATAATAGGACTTTTTATGGCCCTGCTTGAGTAAAAAACTATACTAGGTCAGTAACTAAGCTACACAAGACATCTTATCCCATTTTCCTTTTTAAGTTACGGTTTTAAGCTCTTATGACCGAAATCTGTAATATTTTATATTTAACATGCCTCTCAAGACGCCCACCACGACGCCTCTACTGCCCAATACCCCAATACTCATAGGCCAAAGCTATAACCACGCATGCAAATCACCCAGCTGATGTACGCCATGCAATCAGCCGGAACTGACAGACGGCACATCCGGTCAGGACCGGAAACGGACGTCTTACTTTAAACACAAACAGTGATTGAATACTGAACGCCGGTGACAGTCGCGGCTGACCCGAGCCAATATCCTAGGATGACCCGGAGCTTCCTGGCACGACTTGAGGAAGAAGGAAGCGACGGCGACTGAGGATGAAGTCAGATTGTATTGCAATTTAATCGGGAATTCCAATACAGTCAGTTGTGTTCTCATCATTGATTATTTTTTTTATATAAAAGAAAAGGTTCTCATCGCTAAACAAATACGAAAATCCTACCTCTCACACAGTCCACAAAATCAACAATTATTTTGTGGATATCACCAATTTGAGTTTTTTGAGGTAGGCCTATTTAGAGGTTTACAGTCAAAACACGGATAGAAAAAATAGTCTTATCATAATATACCTCATACTTAGTATAAATTACCTCTAAACTTAATGCATTTTCGAATACTTATTTAGTTTGTCAATACTGTCACGGTAAAAATTATTTGTGTGACAAAAAGTCTACCTTTTTTTACTGAAATCCCCGTCATCATAAACGTCCAGTCTCATGATTATAATACGTTTAAGTGCATTGACGTCTAATATTTATTTATAGGTCATTTAAAAAACTTCATTAAATGTATACAACCAATCAAAACAACTAATCTGTAAACTAATCCTTGTCCTCTGGTATTATAGTCTGTATCATGAAACATGTCTCTTGAACCTTCGTCTACCTAATATTTGCCAGTCCCCAGATAGACAAAGGTCCAGGAGACAAGTTCCATCATACAGACTATAATCAGAGCAAAACGCACACTGTATACTTTTACCTTAATTAGTCTCATTCACTCAAGAATTGTACACGAAACACCAAACCAAAACATGCTTATTTTAAAGATAAATCTATGTAAGGTCAGTGATATTACCTAGAGATGTGGATGGTATCCTGGCATTCTGATGGGCGATAGGTACGGCGGGCGGAGGCGACTCTCTACCTAGACTTTGGTGCGTCATCCCTACGACATAAAACATACATAAATGCAAGAGGAAATTGCGATATCTCGTAAAGTCTTAACAGTCTAAATACAGTAACAGTGTAAAATAATGTAGGAACACTAAAGCACAAAAGGTTTTAACCATAAATCCATCGTCTACTGCTACTTCATTTCAGTCTCGGGGCGGAAATGTTTTCAAAAATAAAATTAAATATATGATGTTAATAATACACGTACAATAGCATGTAATTTTTAATGTATCGTCCTAATAGTTATAACTGATTATTACAGTACTATATTCTGCATTATAACAAGAAGCATAACAAGGTTATGCTTAGACCGATCTATTAAATTCTATTGTTATTGACCGTTAGCGTGTGTATATTAACTAAAAATATTGAAGAAAAATCGAACACTTAAATTTTGTATCACCGATGCTTTAAGAATTTTGCAAATAACTACATTCAAATCTGAGTTGTTGCGTAGAATTTGAAATACTTGCTTTAATTGATAGACATGATTTAAGGAAACAATAAAACTAATCATGCAACTATACTATTTTCTTCAAACGTAGAGGAGTACCTTCCAAACATTACCACAAAAGCGATGAAAATATCCATGAACATTAAATTAAAATTCGGACATTTTTGTAGGAAATTGAAAAAAGGAACGTAATTTTTAAACATACGATTTCAAATCCTTGTAAAAAAACTAAGGTTTTGAAAACTGTATTCAATGGATAAAGATACAATAAATTAAATAAATCATCGTACATTGCTTTGGAAAAAATAAATATTTCGTAGATTAGGAAGGCTACACTCCTTTTCTTCGGGGGTATTGTTAAATTTTGTTCGATTTGCAAGACATTTTGAGTAATACGGGGTTATCTTTGGCCATACAATCCTGTTTCATCATTGTATTAATGTTTCAACATCTCGGAAATTTCCCAATTTTTTTTTGTACTTTCAAACAATTATTGTTCAATATATTGCCAAACATCTTATTTTCAAACATATCCAATTCCACAAACTGATACAATAAAAACATATGAAAATCTCCCGACGAACTCGAGCTATTCCTAGCGAACATCGGACGCGAAACACTCTGGAAAATTTTAATTGCTTATAAATATTTGCACGCAGTCGCCGAGTGCAGACGGGCGGAAAAAACGGGAATAATTCGATGTAAGGATAACAACTGGTTGTGTCTGGAACGGTTGACAGTCCGGTCATGTGCGGAGGTTCCACGCTGTCTGTACCAACCTGGGGGTTCTGGCGATCCACAGCTGGACGAGTCTCCCCCACTGGCCGGACCTTCGGACATCTCCTCCTGCAACACACAGCACGGGGATAAGTATGGCTGACAGGGATATTTTGTGTGTGAGGGATAAATTGTGACTCAGGAAACAATCCTGCAACGGTTCGAGGGGTACAAATAGTAAACCTTTCGACATCTCTTCCAGTAAAATACGTCACCAGGGCTCGAAGAGGGATAAATGTCGCAGAAAGGGATATTTTGTAGGTTGTGAGGGGTAAATTGTGACACCTTCGGAAACAATCCTGCAACTGTTCGAGGGGTACAAATAGTGACCCTTTCGACATATCTTCCTGTAAAATGCATCACCAGGGCTAGAGGAGGAATAAAAGTCGAAGAAAGGGATATTTGTAGATTGTGAGGGATAAATTGTGACTCCGGAAACAATCGTGCAACTGTTCGAGGGGGTACAAATAGTGATCCTTTCGACATCGCATTCTGTAAAATACGTCAACAGGGCTAGCGGAGGGATAAATGTCGCAGAAAGGGATATTTTGTAGGTTGTGAGGGATAAATTGTGACTCCTTCGGAAACAATCCTGTAACTGTTCGAGGGGTACAAATAGTGACCCTTTCGACATCTCTTCCTGTAAAATGCATCACCTGGGCTAGAGGAGGAATAAATGTCGAAGAAAGGGATATATTGTAGATTTTGAGGGATAAATTGTGACTCAGGAAACAATCCTGCAACTGTTCGATGGGTAGAAATAATCACCCTTTCGACATATCTTCCTGTAAAATACGTCACCAGAGCTAGAGGAGGGATAAGTGTCGCAGAAAGGGATATTTTGTAGGTTTTGAGGGATAAATTGTGACATCTTCGGAAACAGTTCTGTAACTGTTGAAGGGTACAAATAGTGACCGTTTCGACGTTATATTCCGGTAACATAAGGTACTTCCCAAGGGTTAGATGAGGGATAACTGTTGCAGAATGGGATAATTATAGTGTGTCCGGGATAAATTACGACCCTTTCGAAAACGATCCTGCAACATGGATGTTGGGTACAATTAGTAAAATTATCGACATCCCTTCCAGCAACACATGCTATAGTTTTACGAAGAAATAAGTGAACAAGAAAGGGGTATGTTGAGAGAGGGGTAAATTAATTGTGTGTTGGAAACCATACTCTTGCAATCTTAACGTTAAGGGTTTGAGGGATACAAATAGTGATTCTTTAGACATCCCTTCCTACAACACGTCCTATAGTTTTACGAACAGATAACTGTACTAGATATGAATACTTTGAATGTGTGAGGGAATAAAAGTTGTGTCCCTTTAGATACATCCCTCAGTAACATGGGAAAGGGCGTTCATTAAGATTGTTTCAAATAGGATGTTTTATGATGGATGAAAGTTTAGGCCCTTCGAATACTACCCTTATATACCGGTAACAGAGAAGAGGGTGTTAGCAGAAATATCTATGTAATAATGAGATAGGCCTATTCTATATCGTGAGACAGATGAGTTATACCGGTAACAGAGAAGAGGGTGTTAGCAGAAATATCTATGTAATAATGAGATAGGCCTATTCTATATCGTGAGACAGATGAGTTGTGATATTTCGAACGAATTCTCCTGGAAGAGCATTTCTAGGAAGATGGTCCGATTTCTACTGTTTAGGGTGAAAACTGCGTGGAGTTTAACCGTGATTCCTCGGTAATCCCTTCTTGCAAAAGGACAGAGGGTCCTTTTGGGAATATCTGAATGGATATCATTTAAAACTTTGGAAAGATAAAATCACAGAACGAAAACAGTGACAAAAAACAGGAATATCTGGTAGGAATAGGATATTTAAAGTATACTTTGTGATATTCCAAGTTTAGAGGGTTTAAAATGAAAACACCCAAACGAATTTGGACAAGAAACATGGATCAAAACGTCTCAAGAATGCACAATTGGACAAAAGGTCTACTTAAAGCATACAAAGTCAAAGGTACTCCGTTCACAATAAGTTTTAGCTAAAGATTTTCGTCAAGAACCAATTAGAACAGTGATCCTCCATCTCAAGCACTGAACTACAAAACTAAAGGATTCACATCTATCTCCCTCGTTACCGGAAGTTAAAATGGATTGCAAACTGTGATATTCATCCCACCAGGGATAAACAGGGATATTTCCCAGCAAGTGAGGGATACTTTGTACCATTGACACAGGTATAGTAGTTCCAGGAAGACCAGATGGCCACGGCATCAGTACCCGCCACCACGCGGCCGCCAATTACCTATTACTGGGAAACCGTGATAAGAAACTCCATCTATTTATTTACTTATAGCTAAACTACCCGGAGCATCATTCACCTTGTTGCAACACTTTTTGTCCGCGGTTCGAGTGAAATATTGATGTTCCTCGTACAACTGTTGACGTACTTTATGAACAATATGTTTACAATTTGATACAAAACTTAGTTAAACATTTGACTGGTTGAAGATTTAAAATTGTTGTAAGGTAGATTTTGCATAACTTGGTTTAAATGTGAATGTAAATGGTAATAGCTGATTCTGACAAACTGGCTTCTATGCGGGAGAAGTAGTAGATGCAGTTTGTCGTGTGCTAAGTAAACTTGAAGCTTCCAAAATAGGCCTAATCTTTATTTTATGTACACTTTTCGAAGCCAAAATAATATAAGCATACACTCTGTAAAACGCAGACAACAACATTATATATAAAGACTATTTGCTAAGACTTTATCTATTTGCTAAGATGAATATTCAAAGTTATCCACAGTCAATCGATGAATGTGTAAGAATAATTTTTTATCAACTACGTTAAAAAGATAGAGAAGATTATTTTATATTCGAACGGAAAAGGTTAACAGTCCTTATAAATTTATGTTTGTGGGAAATCATACCCAAAAATTTTTTTTTAAAGAACACACCCTGTATTAAATTGATACACCAATCACTGAAAATTGCATTATATAAACCAAGCTTCAATTTTACAATCTTGTAACGAATGAGAGCTCACACAATGTTCTGTCCGTATGGTTTCTTTTTAACACAAGTGACATTTTTAATTTACGGCATTTAATTTTTTCAGGGCTTTGTTGGGAATCGAACCCGCCACTCTCACACCACATTCCACGACATTACCTTGGGAAAACTCATTTCATTTTATAACCTTGTAAAAACCGCAGATAACAGATTTCTGCAAAAACGTAATATTTCTTCGTAATCTAAATGCCTAAAGTGAAAAGCTAACAGATACAACAAAGTTGCCGACTAAAGACTCTTAATTCGCAGAAACTTAACCATAACGGAGGAAAACGAACTAACGAGAGACATCACACTTGATGAAAATTATTCTGCGAAGAAGAGAAAAGCGGATGTCATACGTTAGACTGACACGGACATAGACATACTGTAGTGGAATTGAACACTGGACAGTGTGAACCGATGGTACAACAATTGGCGGATCAGTTTAGAAAGATTGCGAAATTGGCAAATTAAAACATAACTAGTGTACATGTTGCTCGAATTCAAGCAATTGCAAAGTATTACAGGAATTATTTCAAAACGAATAACAGTCATATTTACAATGAGATTAAAAGAGTTAACTCAAAGATTACCGGTGTGTAACTCAGACCATGTTTATCTTCGTTATTGATAAACCTAAGCATTCCGGCCGAGTTTCTCCTTCTCAAAATGCCTCGCTGTACAGGCAACACAGGTCATTGATAGAGGGCCAATTGAGAACGAAAAGTCGTTTTGGGGTAGTGTTAGGGCGCATTTGTAACCGAATAGTTGAGATTGTCCAGGGCCAGGTGCTGACTGTGATGAGTTAAGCCTATTACGCGCCACTGTTCTGTAGCTGCGGTCGTTATCACGATTACGCCTCCTGTCTATGTTTCGTTGTCGTCGCATCGGAGGCATTTAAAAGAAAAAACAACAAATAAACTAATTATAGCTACTCAAAACAACGATAAATGCACAAATTTAAGTTACAATCATGCTAACACGATCCGTCATAGCGACACAAAACAACGAAAATACACAAATTTAAGATACAACCATACTAACACGATCCGTCTTAGGGGTTATGTTTACACAAACTCAAATAGTAAATAAATGTACTCAATGCGTTTCATTGAATTGAAAAATAAATAACAGCAATTAAATTATACAGCTGATCAAAATGTAAACAATTATGTTCTCCATAAGGATAACATGGGAACTTTCAAAGCCACTGGGGCAGAGCCCAAGGGACGTTTTCAAAAATGTAAGGCCAGTTTGCAAATCTACGCGACACGCTCTTTCCAATGAGACGTCAATAGATCAAATCGGTTAAGAAATGGCGGAGGAGTTCAACCGACAAAGTTTCATGTAGCGTATTAATTATATAGATTGTATTTTACAGCAGTACAATATATCTTGGCATATTGGAGAACATTTTTACAATTTTTTTTCTTAAAACTGGCTACACACGTCACAAAATATTGTATACTACAGTATTACATATTACTTGAATACTAATTGTTTTTTATTTGCTATTGCGATGGTGTTTTTAAGTCTGTGTACACGAGTGTGTTTCCAGAACTAATCACAAAAATATAAGCAACAAATCACGTGGAAAGCTAACAGTTAACTGAAAAACACGTCCGATTATAAACTGGACGCCGTCAATAACTCATAACATCAATTATGAATGACCGCGAGAAATATGAATTTATGTATGGACAAGAGAAAACTACCAGTCTTGTAAAAAGATCAGCAAATTCATTATGATTTCAAAACCGCTTTTAATAGACTCTCTATACTGTATCATACAGTAGGTAGAAAATGGTCTAAAGAAAATGACAATTTGAGTTCTTCACTCGAATATTAAATAAAGACTATTGCTTAAAATAACAATTAGTTCAAAGTGTTAGCGATGCTGTTTGAAATAGATGGCTGTTGTCCATAAAACTCGATGAAAGTTAAGGTTAAACCTAGCTAAAAAATAAAACATAAACTACAAACGGTAGTGCTCGTAGTACCAATGGATGATTGTATATAATTGAAAATATTATTTAGAGAACG